CTCTCTCTCTCTCGCGTCAAATTTGTCGTCTTGATGGGAAAATGGTAGACGCGGTAGAGGACGGGGAAGTGCCGTCAGATATTTTCCAGTAAATATACGAGGGCCGCCGATCTCAAGAGGCAGACGGAATAAAAGTCGAAACGTGTGAATATTAGAGTACGGTACTTTCACGTATCTTAGATGCGACATTTACTATACACTTTGCTAGAAAAAATCTCTTAAAGCAGAGGAACAATTTATTTAGGAAGAATTACGATATACTATTATCTAATTTTTTTAATTTAATTTTTTCAACAATAAAGTTGCATATATAAAGAAATTTCCTTAATTTTCTTAACTTATCTTTTTTACTTATAGATTCTTGTTTTAGATATAAATATAGTCTTGTTTTTGATTGTACTAAATAGCTAATCGCCATCCAATACAATATATTCGTAATTCCTACTATCTAATGCATCCATTACTTGTTATTTTTCTTTTCTTTTTCTCCCCGAATTCTCCTGTTGATCTTTGTTTTTCCGTCGAACCCTTTCTCTTTTCGAATTCCCGACACGTAACCGAGGCAAACCGATCAGCTGGCGCGCTGGCGATGTAACGGCATGTTACGCCGCTGCAAATTTGATACACCGCTAACGAGCACGCTATCAAACGGTCGCATATCCAGGCAGGGACAGAGAGAAATGATATACGTAGAGAGAAGGATCGATAGATACAATGGTCAGGGAGCCGGTTTGCCCCGGTTAGGGCCTCAGTTTGTGATGCGGGGTCCGTGAGTATACCGTGTCACGAGCCGGAGGGCCGTGATAGTGTCATCCGTTGGTGAGGGCCACTCATGAGGGCCAACGTACCACCGAGACGATCGAGAAAAGCGCGAGTCAAGGTCACGGGTATGCTCATCAAAGAGACATCACTCAGGTATCACGATTTCGCCGCATTACGCTCGATATCTGTTGCATCTAAGAGTACAAAAGTGTTTCTCCAAAATTTTATCCATATGTGCATTAACATATTTATATTAATTTTTATTAATATTTATTAATATTTATAATTTGTAATTGAACACTAATCGTTTTGAAATAGAAATTACATTGTGAGAAGAAGTCGAGTATATTTTTTATTTTATACTGAAAAATACGGAGAGTTCTTGCATGAAAAATTAGCCATGGTGCAGAGGATAAATTGGAAAATAGGAGGGAAATAATGTTAAAAGATATGCGATGGATATCAGATGACGGACAACGAAATGACAAGCGATGGAATCGATGTTCTTCGCCGGCAGAAATCTCGGAAGCGTAATTCCCGTCGTAATATGCGGAAAATGATGGAAAAGAGAGAGAACCCGACGAGTTGGAATTTCCCAGGCACAAAAAGTTCAAAGGGACTGCGCGAGGCGTCCCCGAGTTTCTGAATAAGAGATGTACTTTGACAATGGCTGCGCGGCAATTGAATTCAAATGAAATGCCAGCGACGCCTTTGCAGAACGCGAAGAATTTCTCGAAAAATCGCGCCGAGAAGCGACAGATCATGTATGCGACAACGTGTGAAAAATTGCAATTTGCCGCCATGAGAATATTCCCAGACGAAAGATACGTGTTTTTTTTTTTTTTGCGAACGTGAAATTACGAGATCTTTAACAAATAATGGCTTTAAAAATTTTTTGTGAAAATAACGAATACATTATAATTATTTGTTTACTCTCCTCCATTTTAAACTCTATAGATATTAAAATTAAATGTAAATTTAATAAAAATAAATGACATTGAGTTGCATGGGACATCGATCAATTCACGCGCGCCGAACTTCACCGTTCTCTCTAAGCAAATTAAAATTGCAAAAGAACCAGGTCAACGTCGTGTCAAAGTCTGCTGAAAAGAATTTTAATGATGTAATAAATCCGGCCGAGAGAAAAGTTACGAAAAAAAGGGAAAAAGATGCTGAGGGACGGAATGCCGCGAGGGACGTCGATGGGTGGAAGGTAGCGTAAGGGCGGGGGAGATCTCCACCAAAGGGTGATGCGCCGGGTTCTCAAGCCCTTCGCGACGAGGGACGGCACTCGACCACTGAATCAACCCTCTCAGTGCCCTCTCTTGCCCTATCCGTTTTTCCCTCGGCCAACGACACCCTCTCTCGCTCCAACGCTTCACAACGCTACGTGATTATTTCAAAAAGCTCGGAGGCACGAGAGACGAGCTTCTCTGTCCTCCTATCGCTGCCTTCGTATCACGGCCGAAGCCACATTGCTGTGCGAAATATTTTTACGCCGTTCTGCGTGCATCTCGCACAACACCGAGGATCTTTTTCTTACTCTTTTCAACTGCCGACGTATCGGGGCTAGGCCAACGGTATGCCGTTCATCTCGTTTATCTCCTAAAATATGCGGAGCAACGCTGAATTCCGCGAAAGATCGGAAGCGTTAAAGCACACAATTTTTATGAGATAAACTAAAATGACGACGATAAACAAATCTTGGTTCGTAGACCTCTTTTAAAGATTAAAATTTGATGAAATTCATGGCTGACGTTAGCATGAGAGAGAAAAAATACGAAATTTAAAAACGCAAGAGAAAATCATACTTTTGCACTGACAATACTCGGCTAGAATATTTGTGACATAATGCGTCCCTTTTGTTAATTAATTAGTTAACGAAAATTTTTATAAAAAAAATTATTAGCAACTTTTTTTTATGTCGATTTGATAAATATACTGAGTGTTACTTCAAACGAATGTTTAATTATTTGTACAAATTTTTCCATATTCTTAAAATAGAAAATGCACGCGCGTGCAAAAGGGGGAAAAGCACGTTTTATCACGTGTCAGATTAAATAGATCGGCTACGACTATTATTAGATAAATGACTCGTGTTAGAAAGTCAACGCTACGTCATCTAATGATACTCACAAAGCCATCAGCACTAGTCGGTCTCTTCCTGCAGCCAGTGTCAATGTGATGTGTCAAACATTATGGCACCGCGTTGACCTTAAATCAGGCGGGCGCGTGGGTTTATATAAAAACCACGAAGTGCATATGCACTTATATGTCGCTGTCTTGTTTTACTTATATCTATTTCTTTTTTTCATACTTATGTCTTTGTCAAAACCGTAATATCGCTAGCAGCGAATATGAGTTAATTAACTACCGACGCGGCTAATTAAAAAAGAATAAAATATGATCGCAATGTGAAAATGTGAACATAGAATTAGTTATAATAAATGAATTCAGCGGCCGCAAGAATAAAGCCTCTATCATAAAAAAAAAATAATTGAGACGTACATATGTATATGGAGCTTATTGAGCGAGTAATTAATTAATTAAAATTGCTAATGGCAGTCGGTGGGTAAGGCGTGATCGCGAAATTGCAATTTCCATTACATAAAACGTATGAAAAATTAAAATTAAGACGTTTCACATATGGTATATAAGTGTTATACTTGAAACAAATAAATTTATCTATTTTATTTAAGTTGCAAAATATGCTTGTTGCACAAAATAAATTGTACACCTTAAATTTATATCTCTCTTTAAAACATATATTCGTATTCTGTAATCGTATCGTAATTAGTACTAAATATTTTGTTGATCTTTCTCAATTCAGTTTGATACAGTTATTACTTTTATTTATATATTCTCTACTTATATTTTGAAAGCAATAATTGTCGAGCAAAAGCTGCACGAGTGAAGCAACTCGCAAAACAATTTGTAAATCCACGAAGAAGATTCCTAATAGGAATATTTTCCATTATATACTTCTCGCGTTGTAAACATAAATCATTTAGTGTAAAATATCTTCTTCTTAATAAAGAAATACGTGAAATATGGACGCGAATCTTAAGAGACGTCAATTTCGCAGAAATCTGAATGAAGAAGAAATAACGAGACACTCTTTAATAGATACAAGATGAATAATAGACACGGTCTATACAGTTGGCCAGGACTGCCGGTCGCGCTACCGTCACCAGCCTCACCATCCGCGGTAATCGTCTCACCGGAAACGCTGTCTAGACATAGCAGCAGCTCACCTTCTCGCGTTCACCGGCCACCCCAGTTTGCATTGGCCCTACCATGCTCTTCGCAGCCGATTCCGGCGGTCTGCTATCCGCCGACCTTCCTCGAGGTCACCGACGAGCGGAAGTGGAAGAACCTTGGATGGTGAGTATAGTGGACCAGACATTTCTCCATCGCGCATCGAGGTCGATGTACCGTCTGCCGATCGGTCCGGCCCTTCTCCCAACCTACACCCTTGTGTACCTAATCGAAATTAATTTCCAGCACCCTACGCAATTGTAAATCTTTTTTTTTTAGCCGTTTTCATATCGGCAGACTGTAATTATTTATACAACAGTGCATGTAATAATCTCACATGTAATAACCGCATGCGCGTGCAATAATCTCGTACATGGCAACGCGATTAGGTAACCATTAATATTAATTGGATCATTAAGCCCAGAAATTTACAGTTTATTAATAATATATGTGGATCTCTCCGGTTTCATTCATTAATACATACAATTTCGCAAAGCGACAGAACGATTTTAAAACTGCAATTGCATCATTACTTATTCATAGAATTATTGATTTAACGAAATGACTATTATTGATACGTTCTGCATAATAAAATCGTGCAACAAGCTTTGTGAAATTGAAATGAATCTTTTAACTTTTCTCATAGTTCGATTTCGTTCATTTTCCATGCCGTTTCGCCAAGATTCTAACGACTTAGTTCGCCTTCGTTCTCCGATATACGCGAAGGGGGGAGGGGAATGCCGGTTACCACGGAAATTTCACGTGATCCTCCAGGTTATCCTGACCGACGTCTGTGCCGCAATTACCGGTACTTTATGAATCAAACACACGCGTACAGGCGACCACGCGATTACTCGTAATTGAGCCAATTCTTACGGGGGTGGATGTATTTGCGGCCAATGGTACCTCCGCTGTAATGTTACACGATGATGGGCATCGAGCTAACGATCCATCATTCGCGCGGCTCTGCCCTCAATCTCCTATTTTCAATGATTCCTTCGAGAAATGATGTTTTTATCTGGGTCAGGGCCGAGAAGGAAGATTTAACTCACGCGCGGATTTTATCGAAAAACAAAGATAGTTTTTTAATTCTCGATCGAAATGAATAAAACTAATTTTGTTGCGGCAATAAATGAGATACATTTAGATTTACGCGTATAAAAGGGAATTATGAAATCCATTCGATTTCGCGATTCGTCGATTTTAATTCCTCTTCACCGATAAAGGCCGGCGTGGATTTGTAGACGAGAGGATTTATAAAATTCCTCATCGGTGCATTTCGAATGGAGATCCGTTTGATAGCCGGCGAGTGGTATAACTGAAGAGGAATGCGCGCGTGATTTCTCAAAGTACCGGCCGGAGATGGATCTATTTCCTCGAGCGCGAGGATTTAATCCGCGCGCGGCGCGGATCCGCGTTTCGTTCAGCTTCAATTTCCGTTTCTGCTGCAGCGACGCCCTGGCGACCACTTTGAGCGCGCTGTACGGGAAACTTCTGGTTGTGATGGGGATCGCCTTTCCCATGGCGGAAGTAATATCCACGTATATACCGCCGTCTTTCTACGAGGCATTCTACCTCTACCTCTACTTCGGCAGCATGATCTTCCTCGTGTACATGTACGCCATGCTGTTCAGGGACAGCAAGACGAAACCAAGTGAGTCTAAAAACACGTAAAAAATTTAGCCTCCCGAGTCGATCCTCGTCCCTTATCCATCGCGATAAATATTTCCGACTCGTAGGGATTATCGATTCGGCGTTTACGAGCGTGCGTGCTCCGTGGGTTTACGCCACTAGAAGTAGATAAAGCTCGCCGCGCGCGATCAGACCGCCGCTTTGGCAATCGCAGCCTAACTTACATACCGATCAATGTACATTCACACGCACGGTGACGCAACGTTTATGTATATCATCACGATGACCTCGCTTTGTTCCTCGTCAAAATTCCTCTCCCGGCCAGCAGGCGATCGCCGAAACGAGAACGAAATGAACGGCGATCGCGTTGTCGCCATAATAACCGATTGCAATTAACCGGTTTCTCCACAAATCGTAAATTCGCGGAGCAGAGAAGCAGAAGGACGTGTGCGATCTGGACTCGTCGAGATCGTCGAGCGGCGCCGGCGGCGACAGCGATGCGCCTGAGACCGGATGCCCGCACGTGAATCCGGTACGTCATGTTCAGCACTACGGTAGCTTCTATCTGCGAATGGGCGCCGTCGCGTTCGGCATCGGCTCGATGATCTACTCCGGTTTGGAATTCGGCCAGTACTTCGAGCTGGAACAGAACACCAAGTGCCACAACATCATGCTGGCCCTCACGCCCGCCACGAGAATGGCCTTCATCTTCATCCAAATGTACTTCATATTCCTGAACAACGAGGTGAGTGGGCACTGAGTGTGAGTGACATCTGCACGATTCGTTCTCACGACTCGCGACCTTTTCCTTTAATGACAAACTCTTGATCGATTTCTAATTTAATTTTTCTCAACGAGAATATCGAGGGTCACTCTTTATCACGACTTGTCAATATTACGACTAGATTTCTAAATTAAAACTGTATTGAAGCAAAATTCATTCAAAAATAATTAAATAAATATGATTGTAAAACATTAATATAATAACAAAATTTATAAGAGTCATTATATGTATATATATTGTACATATATACATATATCATATATAGACAGTTACTACACTGATTTCTTGAGAATCGCTGCACATGTTATATTGGAAAACTTCGATGGTGTAACTCGATGGGAAATCCACTGCCGGAAGTGCCGAGCTAACACAAGCTCGTCGGTTACGGGGTTAATGAAACAGAAGGGTGAACAACCCTGAGAGCAATAGTAGAACGTGGCTATCTAAACGCTCCAGTGCCCTATCGATATAATATTACCTTTCCTAATATTATTGTAATTCTCTTCAACTTGAACTTTTGTTGTTTCATATAAAATTTAAAAGCATTAATACAAGAAATTTCTATTTAAAAAAATTGCGGATGAAAAGGATATGTACTTGAAGGTAACTTGTTTCTCTCCTCTGTCTTAAAATCAACCATATTTATTAAAAAAAAAACCAATATACTTAATTAAAAACTAGATGTAATAGATGTAAATGTATAAATAGAAAAAGTAAAATTATAAATTATTTGGATGGTAAGATTGTGCCTCATCTTCTAGCAAATGAAGGTTTATCGTCATCGCGTTGTTGCACGTTTCGGACTAATGCACATGATCGGCACGAATCTGTCAGTTTGGCTGAACGTTCTCGTGCAAGAAACGAAACACGAGATCCTTACGTTCTACAATCCGGAGAACAACTCCCTCAGAATCTCCCACAGACTAGGTAAACTACGCGATGGAACGTGATCTTCCGTTGTGATTCTACAAATCTGACCTTCGAATTTTCAGGCTCGAAAGGAGCTCATCTCGGTGGTCACATCCATTCTCATCACGGGGAACACGTGCGACTGCCACGCGGTCTCAAAGGACCCCATCACATGTTCGAGTGCAGAAGGACGAATATAATGGGATCGCTGGTACAAGATGCCAGTCCCTTCCTCTTTCCGTGCACGATAGAATATAGCTTGATCTGCGCAGCTATTTTATACGTAATGTGGAAAAACATATCGAAAGTCGGATTCACGCAGCCTGCAACGCCGCCGGGCTCGCGTCACCACGCACACGCCTATAGGTATAGCAACAATACATTCGCCTACGACTATAGTTATAATATACGCCTACGGTAACTTGCGGCAGTAACGCGCGGCGTACACAAGCACGCAAAATGACAACCCAGTTTATGAAAACTAATTCCGCTGGCCGGCGCGCAGCTTATCAGAGAGTCGATTGCGAATAATATCCTAACATAAAGCAGCGTATAATAAAATGTCATCAAAACTTGCGTCTAGATCGCGAATTCACAAACTTTTAATCATTCGCAGGAAATCGCCTCATCATTACAGCGTGGATTGCGCCCGCGCGCACAAGGGCCTCTTCGTGGGCATTTTGATTCTAGTGCTGACGATAATCTCCCTCATCCTCTTCTTCGTCCTGATTTCGCGGCCCGAGTTGGTCAGCCTCGCCGTGACCGAGGTGAACATCTGCGAGCTGACGCTCTATGGCATGTCGACCCTGGCGACGCTGATCGGCATGTTCCAGATGCGCAAGCTGCGCTACGACGGCGGCAGAAATCTGGAGCTCGACAATATCCTCCTAGTGGCTGCTCAGACTGGCATGTTCATCTACTCCACGTTCACCATCATCGGCGGCCACTTCACCCTGCAGAAGCACACGGTCCTCGTGCTGGTCACCGCCCTGGCCAGCGTCGTCCAGACCACCTGCCAGACCATTTTCATTCTAGACGCGTCGAGACGCACGGTCGCCACTGCCGAGCAGATACGCAGGAAGCCGGGCAGGGAGATCGTGACGTTTCTGCTGGTGACGAATCTGGCCATGTGGGCGATCAACACGCTAGAGAAGTCACGGGCGGAGTCGCATCCGGTGCAGTTGCATTTCTACGGCCTGTGGGCGTGGACGATCATCACCCACGTCTCGATGCCGCTGGCGATCTTCTACAGGTTCCACAGCACCGTCTGCCTGTGCGAGGTGTGGAAGCGGGCCTACAAGGTGAAGCCGACCTACATGTGACGCAAGGGGTCCCGCGAGGTCATATGGAAGACCGGTGGGGTTCCGCAGCGGCCCAAGAGCCAACTGTCGAGGCTCGACGTCATCGCGGAGAACGATCCGGCGTATTTCATATGATCAAAAAAGACATCGAGCCGCGAAAACGGTTTTAAAGGGGAAAAATCTGTCGGGCGACGTAATAAGAAGTAGACGATATCTTTAGACGGGCAGACCTTTTCTAGACGTCCGAACATGATTAACGTATTAATACGTACATGACAGTTCATACGCACGTAATTTATATCGATTTCAGGGTATATTTCGAACAACTAATCTATATAATAAATAGATTCGGGGTCTCGACAAAGACGTCTCGACATTACATACGTAACTTGATCACATTTAGAAAAGAAAACGTTGGCAGAAAGGTACTCATAAAGGCTAATTGTCCCCATAAACAGTAAATTACTTCGTCATTTATCGACGATCAGTGTTCTAGCTGTAACAAATTTATAAATGTTGGCGACCCCATAGAGTTTACACAACGCCATTGTGTAAGTCTAATATCACTTTCTAAAACGGATCACCATCTCGTCGAAAAAATATATAACTATAACTCGCGTCGAAAAAACAATTTTAGCAAACCAAAGAAAACTCCAGAAATGCGTATTGAGATCCTATTGCTGATAAGCCGATTTATCGAAGTACGATATTGTGTATTGGGTCTCCCTACTCGACCACTTTTTAGAGATTTCGACGTAATCCTCTAATCCGCCATTGATATATCTGTAAATAGCCACTGATAACGTCATCGCGCTGTAAAACCAACACGAAGAGGGAAGATTTGCAAACTACACACGAATAAACTTAGCAAAATCGCAGTATTCACGCGATGAAGGGACATTACGTGTGCATTGATGTCTATCGCTTGCCATTATCGCAGCCTTCGCCCTAAACGCGGTAAACCTACCGGAGCAAAAATAACAGAACGAGAGAGAAGTGAATTTCATTCGATAAAAGCGAAAGTTCCATCGCGATAACAACGCGTATAAACGATTCCACTGTTATCTCGCATCGATTCCGCAACATCGTGCGAATCGATGGGAGATAAGAAAAGCATTTATCTGTTATGTGAAAGAATATCTTGGGAAGTGAAACAATCAATTATACTTCAGACGATCTGACTGACTAGATATACGAACCTCCTCGAAATGGAGTCCATTGATAAATGTTTAATCGATACCTGTTACGTACCATTCTAAACTTTTCTCTGGATAGATATTCAAATAAAACAATTTTCTCGATTCAATCGACCAAACGAAACAATCTAATATTGAGTCACGGAGAAACATAATTGATCATTATCTTTGTTACATGCTTGAATTGACACTCGTTCAAATATTCGAATATGATTCTGTAGGCGACAACATGTCCATTCGTTAGAAGTAGAAAGGGCTAGATTTTTCTTAGAGAACCAATCTGGTCGAAATGTTCGGCATAGATCTTCGACCACAACGGGAACAATAAATCTTCTTCGTTCGATAAACTTTTGTATCCATTCCGAGTAAACGAGCGAGGGTTCGAGAAGAGAATCGAACTCCCTCTCTCGAAAGACTGATACGAATGTCAGGAGAATGGCAGGGCACTAAGCACAAATCCTGATCCGCTGTAAACCGATCGAACCGAGTCCTCTATAGCAGTGTGTGTAACCTGAATGTTTGGTGCTCGTGTAATCCAAGGCGTTTGGACACTCTTACGGATATCCGTCTTCCACGTAGTACAAACTGCAGTTTAAACAACAATCGTCGCGTACATGTAGATGACTCGAGAGCTAACATAGTGACAGGCGAAATAGATTACAAGTATATTCAATAGTGCATAAAATCCTATACATCAATTAATGGAATATTTGTGGATTTTTGTGATAAACGAAATTTTCGAGACCATTATTATGTGAGACAATTACAATAGGTCTTAAATCACATTGACGAACCAATCTCGCAGGAATTAAAAATATTTTAATAGATACTGACAATGAAAAAAGAACCATTCCTCTCGGTTGTTCTATTTAACAAACTTGAAATCGATTCACGCACACCGTGAATTTCATATTTTCGAGCGACTTGCATGATGTCCATGTATAATTAAATAAAGAAAGAACCATGTAGATATTAAATATTCTAAAAGGAAATTCAAATCGGAGAGTTTTAGTCCTTTTATATCTAAAAAAAAAAATACGCACAAGATGATCTATAAATACAATTTTAGATATACTATCGTAGAAATCGACTCGTAGATATGAAAATAATTAGTACCGCTGTTACGATTTCGTGGCTTATAACGCACGGACATTTTTATTATCGACGTTGAATTTGTATTATCAGGAGAAACTTATTTTACGTCAGGCTCAGAAAGTTCAGTGATCAGGATCAAATCGATGGACGAGTGTCTATCGTAGACTCGCGCGATTTTCAAAAGTAGAGCGATAGATATGAAAAAAGTGAAGACGTTCGAAGTAGGAGTACAGTACAACGGCTGATCATATCATTAAGCCTTAAATCCGTCAAGAAGAGTGCTGTCCGAGCTGATAGGAGATATAAAGGGGATCAAGATCGATCGCGATCGACACGCGATCTCGAAACTAGAAGCGACCTACTCGAGTTTCTTTCATGCTCAACTGACAGATGTGATGATGAGAAGATCACCAGGAGCAAGTGAGAATGAGCGAACGAACAAATTGACGTGTGTGGTCGTGCACGGGTGTGTGCGTGGATGCGTGTATGCGTGCGTGCATGTGTGTGTATGATGTGTGTCGCGAGTGCGTGCGTGTGTACATGAAACAAGAGACGGAGAGAAAGGAGGAGAAGCCGAGATTTAATAGAAATGTAGGCGTTTACGAGTAATACGTGTTTCGTGCTAGAAGCTTTGATATCGATTATCGCCGTTGCGAATTCTAGTTATCCGGTCGGTGCAGTCGATCTTCTGTAAGATATAGTTTCCCTGAGACGGCTGTAAATAAACGGTGGAGAATATACAATAAAGCGAATTCTCTCGGTGTTTAGCGCTAGTTGTGTCGACATGTTTCTTCCTATAACATATATATGTATATATGTATGTGTAGATGCATATATACAATATACATATATATACATATTTATACATACACATTTATATATACAAGATATAAATATATTTATTATTACGTTGTTCTATTATATAATATTTATTATAATCTGACATAGGATTTACGCGCGATATGTTACGTTTATTGAGAGTCCCGAGGATTCGTGCCGAGATCCCATATATCCATTCTTTCCTTCACTCTTTCTTCTTCTTCTTCTCTCTCTCTCTCTCTCTCTCCTTCTGTCTTACTTGCATCTTCGTCCTAAATAGAGCAGTTATAATATTGCAATGGAAAGCGATATGAAAGATATCTAAGCTTCAGTAAATATTAAATGATGATTTTGATTCAATCCTTACAGTTCTATAATTATTTAGATAATGACCGCTCTGCAACTTACTTCAAATGTTGTCAAGAGAAGGCCTTTGCAGTAGATTCACATTCTTTTCACAGACTTCTCTCGCGCACATTGTTAACGCGTTTACGATCTCGGCACGAGTCCTCTCCCGTAAAAAGATAAAATCAGGGCGAAATCACGAAGAACGCAATTCGCATTTGCGAGTGATATAAGAGAAGAGAGCGAAACGAGGGAGTTCTCTTTGCTATATCACGTCTCTGAACTGTACTTTTTCTATGTCCGCATAATCTAGTTCCTACGCAATGTTTGTACTCTTATACCCTTTGTACTATTTGTACCTTACGAATTGCAATACACTCGTCCGCAATAACAAAATGTTTCTTTTCATTTATCACCATGATCTTTTCTTTCTCGAGAAAATCGCAATATTAATCTTTACTAAGTTAGAAAGTACAGGTAATGTCAAATTGGCAAACCGCATTTCTGTGTGGCTAATTCGAGATGTCGAACTTTCTACGCTAATGGCTTGCTTCGTATTACGATAGACAGTCATTAACAATGCAACGACGACAGGGAATAATTCAAATAGCGGAGAATCGCGGCCGAATTGACCTAAATACCCGCGATTCCGGATTCGATTCCACGAGCACGTTCGTGATCTCTCGATGAGGCAGACCTTCCTTGGGTCCAAGGTCATCCGGTGACCGACCCTCAAATTGAATCTAATGGAAATGAAGTTGAACCGCGACTTTCTCTTCGCGGCGTCAGTCCGTCACGTGCGAATTAAACCTTCAGAAACATATCAATTTAATCGATACTCTCCTGACGGCTAAATCGCGAATGTATAGTGAGTGTATAGCTATTTTATTAAAATAATTTATTATATATAATATAATTAATTATACATGGTGTAATTAATTATATAAAATTAATTATAATTATATTATCACATCATTATATGTAAGTATTTATTTCTAATTCTATTTAATGTGTGTATAACTTTATGAAATTTATAATTTATAAACAGATTCTTAACATTAGAAATGTATTAGGAACATGTTATATGATGCTTTTACATGCATTCTTAATTAATTTAAAAATATTATCACGCATTGCTTATAAAATCAATAATAAATTATTAGTATTAATTGCAGTGTCAATAATAATGCACTGAAGCGAATATTGCGAGCTATTAATATATTCCAATAATAAATGTTATCATGTTAAGTAAATTAATTTTATGTTTTAATATTTAAAAATGTATACGCGAAAAGTACTGTTTCATAATAGACATGTCGTTGACGTTATAAAAACGCTGCCCTGAGTACTCTTGAGATGTAATTAGCTAAAGTGATAAATGAATCTGCTCTTAATTATTCTATCAAGTAAGTTCAATCGGCTAAAGTATCTTACATAATTCGTACAAAAATTACTTAATGCCGATTGTTGTTTCATTAACTTTTAATTATAGCCAATATTACTAAAAAAAAAAAAAGATTCTAAATGCACGGTATCTTATCGTCTTCATTAAAAACCTTTAAATTCTCGCTGCTGTTTCAACACTTCAAGATTGTACTAAATTACTGATAATTCGTTACTTTCACCGCTGGCTTTTAAAGACTCAGTATCGTTGCTTCAATTTTAGCGTCTGCCTCATTTTAATGATAAGAAATCAATTATACAAGCACTTCGTATGTACTTTGTATAATTATATAATAATTTGTACAATTACTTTACAATTTTTCTTATAAATATGATGCAAGCACTATACTATTCTTGCTAGCGTCTCAACCGAGATTTCGTTGAAGTCCAGTGGATCCCTCACGAAAGAGCTGCGGAAAGCTTGCGATAGCGTGAGTCTGCGAGAACGGGATATACGTGCGGACATGTATAACGAACGAGGGACGCGCTTTATCATGACGCGTGAGAGGATCGTTGCATAAGAGAGCGTGCGAACGGTATGACCCTTGTGCGCTCGATTTAATGCCTAATGTTCGCCGGTTGCAGGTGCTCCTGCCCCGCGTAGGTGTGTTCCCGGCTCTCGATTTCCGAAGGTATCTCGTCCGCGATCCGCCGATAGCCTTCTGACCGGACAACGCACAAAGTGGGAACGCAGCTGTTCTTACGGGAACGCGAAAATGTCTAGATGCATTCAATAATACATAAAAACGCGTTGGCACTTATTATATGTATATTATTGTTTTTTATATATTATTATTTAGTTAATTCGCGATGGAAGGAGAAATCGCGCAGTCAGAAATAGACGATAAAAGTTTTCCGCTGCTAATCGATAATATCGTTTGTACTGATTAAATAAAATGTATAAAGCTGAAGGCACAACGCAATTGCGGTGTATATATTTCTATATTCATCATCAATAATCATTCTCGCGTGTCGCAGCTTAACGTCTAAATATTCTCTCTGGCAGAGAATAACCCATAGGGATTATGGCGATTATGAACGCTGGACTTTAATTATAATGCTCCGTAACAATAAAAATAGCCTGTCAGTCGATTCCACAAGGTAGATATCGCGTAAAAAGTTTACCCTACTTTCGCTTGTAAATTAACCTCGTTAGAGCATCATCACGATCCTCTCGATGGAACTGCCGCAGAGTAAAAGCAAATAAGCGACACGCGAATATTCATGTTTTCGCGAAAACTAAGAATCGAAAGTAAAGAAATAACGGTATTCGTTATTATCGCGTTATAAAGCATCGCGATCTCGTTTCCATCCAGGCAGCCCGACGGATGGATCGTTCGTGGGGAGAGTACCCGTAATTACGGGCTAAATCCGCCCCTCGTCGGTGTTGCCGAGTTCCGGACACTCGAAAGAGGGTGCATTTTAGTCAAACCCCGCGATACAACCCCGTATCCATTATAACATGGAGCCGTTTAAGTCGTAATGTATAAAATCAATAGATTCGCCAGTCTGCTTTCAAATTACCTTGGGTTCGTCAACGGGATAACGGAAAATGCTGTAAAGTTTGGACAGAAAGGCGATAACGATAAACGGAGTTTTATTGTAATTAATTACATATCCCATATAATAATATCTTCCTTGTGTA